CAATTGTTGGTTTAAAAATAGACTTTAGAACAAACAGGTTGATTATAAGATTTACAGAAAGAACAAAGAAGGAAAAATTATATTTTTAAAGAAAGAGAATATTCAGGCTTTATTTCTGGTATGAAGTTTATATTTTTTAAAAAATCCTATATTATCACACCAGAGATTTTAGATTCTTTTCTGGTTACAAACATTGCTGGTAGTTGGATTATATTTTTATTGTATTCATTTCTCTTAGGGGGAAAATTGTAAAGAAACAAAAAGGTTCCAGATGAATGTATCCTAGAAATAAAAGTTGAAAGATTCTTACTTCCTTGGAGTATGAATTCTTATTTTTAAAGTGTTTATTCTTTAGCCTTATAGTTTGTATAATTTCTTTGACAAATGATAGTTGGAAAAATTTAAAGAAATGCCCACTTTGACTAAATGTATGAGACTACAAAAGGAAGACAATGTTTAAAGTATTTTTTCAACTGTCAACTCTATAACTACCGTGAATATCATGAATGAATGATTCTTTTCCTTATGATGGAAAATTCTTGCAGATGAGTATCCTCAAGTGCCATTTTTTTTTAGGTTAATTTTTGGAAATGATCATCACAGATTACTGTTATATTCAGTTGATCAGGGAAGGGGAAGAGGTTATGCTGCAGCTGTAACCCACGAGGGTGACCAGAAGCTACGTGCTTGCCTTGCTTTGGCATTTACCACTGCCACAGGGCAGAGTTGGCTTAGAGCAGCCTGTGAGCTGAGTTGAACTTGACTGAGTTTGTGTACCAGTGTGCTGCAGGTGACAACGTGTCTCCCCTGCTGCCTGCCTCCCTTGCTTTTGCGGGTAACCAGTGTAGGGGACATTCAGGGTGTCTGCCTTCTCTGCTCATTGGCACTCTGCACTGGAGCTTGTCTTCTGTCAGTTCTGTGCATCTTTTTTTTTTTTGAGACGGAGCCTCAAGCTATCCCCCTGGGTAGAGTGCCATGGCATCACGCTCACAGCAACCTCCAACTCCTGGGCTCAAGCGAGTCTCCTGCCTCCGCCTCCCAAGTAGCTGGGACTACAGGTGCCAGCCACAGCACCTGGCCATTTTTTTTTTTTTGGTTGCAGCCATCATTGTTGTTTGGTGGGCCTGGGGCTGGGGATTCCAACCTGCCACCTTAGGTGTATGTGGCTGGCGCCTTAGCCGCTGGAGCCACAGGCGCCGAGCCAGTTCTTTGCCTCTTGATATCCTTCCTTTTTGCTTAAAAGTCGCTCAGGTCCATTTCAGTTTACGAACACCGAGTGATACAGGTAAATAAGTTCAAGTCTGCTACTATTGTTTTTAAGTTTTCCTATACTTTGAACTGTTTTCGGGTTTACACATTCTGAACCCAGGTGATTCAGACTCATCATTTCCTTGTGAAGCGGCCCTTTTTGTTCTGTGTAATATACTTTGTTACTGATGTCACCACCTTTGTTTTCTTTCTGGATGCGTTAGCAGATTTTCTAGCTGAATGTGTGTGTGCACCTATACCTGCCTTAGGTGTAGATGTTTAGATTTAGTTATTTGTCCCAGTCATTTTTTTGTAATCTAATAGGAAACTTTAACCGTTTTGGTAAAATTATAATTTGTGTGATCTTTTGACATTTTTGTCTGGTATAAATGTTTTGTCCTAGAATCTATTTACTTTTCCTGTCTTTTCATTGTTCGGATTATGTTTTCTTTTATCTTTTCTAGTTGTTTGGAACATGAGGCATCACCTACAAATTTTGAAAACATAATACTCTTTTTTGCTTCTCATTCTCAGCCAAATCTTGTTTTTAAAGTGTAAACAGAGGTTAGAATCACATTGCTAAATGTACTCTTTTTATGTTATACATCTTGTAGACCTTGGCATTGTTTTTATTGCTCAATTTAAGATATATAGATGTGGTTTATTATAACCTGGTTATAGCTGAGCCACCTGTCTTTCCCTTTGAGCAGTCAGGACGTTTGGTCTTGCTGTCTTATGCTTGTCTTTCTCAGTGCTTGCAGCCAGCTCACGTTGGTATAGGTGCTAGAGATCCCAGATGGCGGGGAGTGCCTGAGGGGCTAATGCCCTCTTCTCCAATGGACCCTAGGTGAAAAAGAATGACCTTCAACCTTCCATGGATTGGGCCTCATAATGTGTTTTTTTTAAAGTTGGTGTATATTTTGACTAGGCAGTAAATACATGGTATACATTTCAAAAGGTAAAAGGGTGTCATAAAGACTAAATGTCCGTCCTGTCCCCGTCCCTTGACCCAGTCTCTGTTGCTAGTGCACAGAGTTCAGATTGTGTTTACTTACCAACTCTCATAAACTAGTGTGCTGTGAACCCTTAGTGTAAGGGATACAGTGGATTGTGACAGTTGTATGTAAATCTTGAAATCTTCCCTGGCTTTCCCCCTCTTTCACTGAGACCAAAGACTCCATTTTTTTTTGTTTGTTTGTTTGAGAGAGAGTCTCAAGCTGTCGCACTGGGTTGAGTACTGCAGTGTCACAGATCACAGCAATCTCAAACTCTTGGGCATAAGCGATTCTCTTGCCTCAGTCTCCCAAGTAGCTGGGACTACAGGCATCTGCCACAATGCCCAGCTATTCTTTTGTTGCAGTTGGCATTGTTGTTTTAGCTGGCCTGGGCTGGGTTTGAACCTGCCAGCCTCAGTGTATGTGGCTGGTGCCCTACCTATTGAGTATGGGCACCACTGAGACTCCGTTTTTATCTGGCAACCTTAGAGAGTTAATTCCAAGTTCAGCTACAGATTATTGACCATACTGGCCAATGAGGCATATTGAATCATCACTTTAATCCCATGGTGCTTTACTTTTCCTTCATAATTATCAAAAACATACAATTTGTATTTTTGATTGATAATTTAAATAATTTTTCAGCAAGAAAACTTTTAACAATCATAGTAGATGGCTGTACCTAAGAAAGGGGACAGAATATACCTACATTTAATTTCTTTTGACATTTTCCTTTTTTTTGCAGTTTAGGCCAGGGCCAGGCTTGAACCTGCCACCTCTGGTATATGGGGCTGGTGCCCTAC